GTGTGTGTGTGTGTGTGTGTGTGTGTGTGTGTGTGTGTGTGTGTGTGTGTGTGTGTGTGTGTGTGTGTGTGTGTGTGTGTGAACAGTCATGTTGTGGGAACATAAATCTGGTTACACACTCTCGTATTTGAGGAAAAAAAGTCGCCAAATGCAAATCATTTAGTTTCCAGTGTTTTTAAGGTGAGGGTCACAGCTCTGAGTGGAAACACGACTGTGTAGTCGTGTTTAGTCATGTCTGCAGTTTCAGCAGTGGGGGAACACACACCAAGGTTATTATCGTTAACGAAAACTAACGAAATAACGAAAACTAGAAGTGAAAAGACATTTTCGTTAACGGAAATAAAAATAAAAACAAAAAAAGGAAAACTAACTAAAACTAGAAAAATTTGCATTTCCTGCGAAAATGCTGTGTGGATGCCTTAATGCTGAAGATGTCGGCTGAAAAAAGCAGAAAAGGTTGAAAAAAAAAAGTTGCCCTGAGCAGGATTCTAACCTGGCCCTTCTGGTACTCAAGGCAGGCACACATCTCACTGCGCCACAGTCTCTCTCACAAAGAAGAGGTGGAGAGACTGACAATTGTGCTGAAATGAGCAGAAGCTGCGGAGAATTGGGCTGATAAGAGGTGGAAAGGCTGAAAATTTTACAGAAGAGGTGACTAAGTAGAATTTCTGCTGAAAAGAGATGAAAATTCTGCTGAAAAGAGTTTAATCAGCAGAATTTCTACTGAAAAGAGTTGAATGAGCAGAATTTCTACTGAAAAGAGTTTAATCAGCACAATTTCTACTGAAAAGAGTTTAATCAGCACAATTTCTACTGAAAAGAGTTCAATCAGCACAATTTCTACTGAAAAGAGTTTAATCAGCAGAATTTCTACTGAAAAGAGTTGAATGAGCAGAATTCTCCTGAAAAGAGTTTAATCAGCAGAATTTCTACTGAAAAGAGTTGAATGAGCAGAATTCTCCTGAAAAGAGGTTTTTGCTGAAAATAGCAATTTTTTAAAGTTTGAACGGTGAAAATCGGATGAAAACTGTGGGAGTAGTTAACTGCCAAAAAGTGTACGGAAGCAACTGGAATATAGTGGAATAAAGAATAAAGAGAAACAGGATCTCAATTGTGTGGATGCCATCCACACAATTAACTGAATTTATAGCAAAATGTATTTAGTTTCATTGATGTGTGCGTGTCCTACAATAGCCGAGGGTGAAAATGAAGTTTAGTTCCCAGATTTTTCTCTTGCTGTGTCTCATTATGCCAGCAGGTGGCAGCACGTTAGTCGAGTCGTCTGTGTTGCTCCGTCCACGCGCAGAATCATGTCAGGAAAAGTCGGGAGAAAGCGCCAGAGTCCAATTTGGGATTACTTTGAATATGACTGTGTTTTGGATAAAGCAAGTGTC